TGCAGAGAAGGGAGAGGAGGGTACAGCTGGAAAATACCCCCCACGGCCCCACTCATGCCTCTCACTCCCCACAGTCACCACAGCTTTGCTGGTGCCCGGGGGTGGGGAGTGGAAAATCAGATTTCTAAAATTTAAAGTCAGATTTTTTTTTTAAATCCTCAATAAAATACTAAATTTCTCTCATTTAAAAAATTTTACAACTAAATCTCATCACAAACATACTAAACCTACACTTAGTCTCATAAAAATGAATTAACGGCTCTGTCACACACACACTCATTGAGTTACCTACCAGTCAAACATGGGCATTCACTTCAGTTTTTTGTCTCATGACAATGGCTCTAGTCTGTCTGTCCTGCCTAACTACCAGCTCTTGCTTCTTGAAAGGTCTGGGCTTTCAGTTTCTGTTTCTCAGCAGACCAAAGTCACACGTGCAAAGACCCAGGCTGGGTAGGATTGTTGTTGTTCTGTGCTTATGTGGTGGTGGAGCTGGGCCAAGCAAGACAGAGGAGTTAGTTAAGACACTGTCTTAAAGACAGAGAGACAATATAGGAAAGGACAGAGGCAGAGTAGAAAGGAACAGTGGAGTGGACTGGAAAGAAAAAGGGAAGACATCGTTCAGTAGTACAAGCGCACCTTCCTATATTCCCACACACTTTTGCCACAGAAAAACTGTTATGGCTTCTGGACGCAAGAGAGACCCTATCTGGGAATATTTTGAAGAAATTCCTTCCCTGGGTAAAATAGGAAAACGTGTCAAGTGTAAGCAGTGCAAGAAGGAGATGCAGGGCCTAGTTGCAAGAATGAAACATCATAATGAAAACAGCTTATTGGGAGAACATGATGTGGATGAAGATGTGGATATGTCTGAAGAACAATGTGGATCAACTGGTTAGTAAATTAAATAATTCACTTTGCAATGCATCATTCTTCAAGACTCTTTCTGTGCCTTTAAGTATAAGTGTGATTTAACAAGTAAATTCCCAAGCTGTTTGCTATGTTTGATGTTGCTAGAAAAAAAGGTTTAGCTCAGCTAATCCTCATGGCTTTTTTTGTTAGTTTACTAGGTTTAGAATCTATCACCCAAGTTTATGGTACAGAAAGCTGCAGGAAGAGAAATCTAGAGTTTCCAGTTGCCGCCGGGTGTCATTTTCTTATTTTATATGACATAATACATGCCCCTTATTTTGGAACATCATGGCCCCAGACCATAATGGTGATGCCATAAGTCTATTCCCTATTTTACTTCAGCATAACTCAGCTTTCCCAAGGGAACCCCATCCTATACTTGTTTTCTCAAAAAACAGAAATGCCAGTGAGTTCAATGGGGCTTACTCTAAAATTAAGTGCACTCTAAGCACAGTCAGTCTTAGCTTTTTTGGTAATTTGGAATCGGATCTACATCCTTGCTGAAAAAGATGTGAATGATTAACTGAATAATAGAGTGAGAAAAACTGAGAAGAACGACTATTCAAAGATCATTTTTGTTTCAGGATCCCATTTAAGCATAAGAGACTTTGATTGTCTATTTGCAACAACTTCAAAGTCAACCACTGGTACTTTTAGCAGCAGTGCTGCACCTAAACGTATTTCAGACAACAAAGTATCAGTAGCAAGCAAAAGCTTTCAATCATCCTGTAAAACCACCACCATGGATGGGTTTGTAGCAAGGACCAGCAAATACCAAGAAGACACCAAAGATGAAAAGATTGCTTGGTTCATTTATGCCACAAATTCTCCTTTTCGCATTGTTAACAATACACACTTCATTGACATGGTTGAGTCCTTACGACCAGGCTACACTCCACCTGGTACAGTAGACATTGGTGAAAGGTTGCTAGATACAGTGTATGAAAAGGAACTTGAACAGTATGCAAGAAATACTGAGGGGAAATTTGTCAGTTTAAGCCTTGATGGGTGGAGCAATGTACACAATGATTCAGTAATATGTGCCTGTGTGACAACAGAAGATGGGGTTGCATATCTTTCAGAAACAATAGATACATCAGGAAATGCCCACACAGCAGAATATTTAAAACAAGTGGCAGTGAAAACTGTAATAAACTGTGAACAAAAATTCAACCGTCACATGCGCAGTTTTGTCACAGACAATGCTGCAAGCGTGGCAAAGATGAGAAGGGGTGTAGGTTGTAGCCGTGTTGGTCTAAGGACATAGGCAGACAATAATAATAAAAGATATCAGATTCATCCAAGGAACCTTGTCTGCAAAAATGAGAAGACACTTAGAAGAAAGGGAAGGCTGCTCCTTAATAACATATGGCTGCAGTGCCCATTTAATGCATCTTTTAGACAAAGACGTAAGTATTTCTCCAGGAATAAAAGAAAATGTTGTTGAAAAATACTTCCATAACAACCATTTTGCTTCAGCTTCACTAAAGAGAGCAGGAGGATCCAAAGTGATTCTCCCTCAAGACGTTCGATGAAGCTCTGCGGTTGATTGTTTTGAACAATTTATTAACAACTGGCCTATTCTCATAAAAAATTGTGACCAAAACCATTATAAAATAGATGGAAGTACCTCATCCAAAGTATCTAACATTGCATTAAAGAGGAATGTAGCTGATATGCTCAGTATACTGAAGCCCATATCCAAAGCCTTAAACAAACTTCAGAGAGATTGTTGCTGCATTGCTGATGCTGTCAACATTTGGAAGGCACTTCAAGAGACATTGAAGAAAGAAATACCTACCCAGAAAGTTAAACTGCAGGCAATAAAGAAGCGAATGGATCAAGCACTAACTCCACCTCATTTTCTTGCAAACAGTCTCAACCCCAGATATAAAGATAGATGCCTAACTTCTGAAGATGCTGCTGCCATGGCATGAGCATCTCAAAATCACCCCTCAGTTATGACAGTCATAATACATTTCAGGGCTGAAGGGCAACCATTTAAACACTACATGTTTACTGATGATGTTTTGAACAAAGTCACCCTCCTAAATTGGTGAAAATTATTAGCCAAGCATCTTGAAACAGAGTTCCTTTAATTGCTAAGCCAACTTTTCACAGCAGTAGCTTCCTCTGCAGGCACAGAGAGAATATTTTCACCATTTGGTATTATTTACTCAAAGCTAAGAAATCGACTGGGAGTTGAAAAAGCAGGAAAACTTGTATTTCTATTTCAGTCTATGAATAAAAATGACAGTGGGAGTGGGGAAGATGAGATCTAGTTGTAGAAGTTTTAAGGACGGCATATGTTTAGTGTTGTGATGACTTGTCTGTTAGAGTTAATTAAATTTGAAAATTAAAAAAAAAGTTTAAGGACAGATGTTGTAAAATGCTGTATTGAGTTGTAAATTAACATGTTTTAGTGATCAGATTTGCGCCATCATTTAAGAAATATGTGAAGAAGTATCAGTGGGAAACTTGATTTAAATCAACGATTTAAACCAGGGTTTCCTCTTGGTGATTTAAATCAATCCACCCTGCTGATGCCCCTCACCCCCCCACCCACAGCCCCTGCTCCACCAGCCCTGCTGGTTTTGCCAACCACGGGAACTTTCAGGAACCTAACCCCTGTAGTTGGCAAGGGAAATCTGTACTTCATTAGTACACACATAAGCTCTTATTAGGCAACTACTTCTACCCCTGCTAGCTGTTATACTGAAGAACAAAAATCCTTTCGGCATTTTCCAAACAAATTTCAAAATTATTGAAAACAAGCATTTAGGGGGAAAAAAAGGCATTCATACAGGCAAAGGTGGATTTTATCAATGTGAGCACCACACAGAACACATGAGGGGGCGCAGACAATTTGAAGTCACTTTTTCAACCAAACTTTTTTTTTTTTTTTTTTTAAATATCTCTCATAAGAGTAACAAATAAGATTAATGCAATGGAAAGAAATTCTTTTGTCTGTCCACTTTGCACACTTGACACCAAGTGTGCACCCACGTTCATTGTTTTAGCTAGTTCCTGCTCCTCTAAAAGCTCTGTAAGGTGTTTTATAATACTAGCAGAAGTGAACTGGTAGGAAAAGGCAGAAAGATGAGCACAGAAAACTTATTTGGTGGTCGTGCCTTTAGGACCACTCAGATATTCTTAGGAATGATTAGGGGAATGGAATCTGAGAGTTTTAAAAGCAATTTAGGACATATTTTTAAGTAGTACTTAGAAAAAATATTGAGTTAATTTAAAAGTAATATTCCATTTGACAGCATCTCAAATGGCCACTTATACCTTACCTAGTACAGATTCACTAGGAAAGATTTTAAAAAGTACAACTGTTCCCATGGGCAGGGCCATCCCTGAAGAGGGGCTGGGGTGAATCAGGATGACTGCTCTGGGCCCCATGCTTTAGGAGGCCCTGTGGAGCCAGGCGGAGCAGTGGCTCCACATCCAGCTGCTTGCTACCCCTCCCGCTCCTGCCCCCACTGCCGATGCCAACAGCAGCTTCTTTGGGTCCAGGATCAGAGCAGGGCACCACATGGGCTGATTTGCCCCGTGTCCCGCACCCTGCTTGGGTCACCTCTGCCCATGGGCACAACCGCATAAGACACTGTAAGGGAACAGAAGGGAGTGTGCTGCACAGTGAGACTCGTGAAGTATAGGTAGCAGTCACCCTGCTGCTTTCCAATTATGAAGGTTACAGAGGCCCAGTTCTAAGCAAACACTCTCCTCTCACCAAGGTCTCTCTCCCTGTCTGGAGGATTGAGGTGCTCCCTTTTACCATCCACAGCACTGAAGTCACAGGTGGCCAAAGATAGGAAGAAGGGCTTTTTGCCCTTCTATTTGCTCTTCATATCTTCCTCATCATGGTAGGAGGGCCACAATTTGGTCACAAGCTTGTGACTTCTTTGGGGTGGGGTTTCCATCTTTTAACAACGCTGTAAACAAACTAATATAAATGTGACACTGTAAAAATAGTAAATGGAACAAAACCTAAAAGCAGAACCAACACTTGCACTTAAAGGAAAAAGAGGGAGAGCAGCAAAAGGCAACA